AAAAGTAACACATTTTATAAAAATTGCGAAATATGTCTGCAACATTTCTGAGACAGCTTTGGAATAGCAAAATGTCCGCGATTCTTGTACATGAAATCTTGTTGAAAATTGATGAAATGTTATAGAAAGAATCTGCAATCTTTTTAAAATAATACTAAAAAGTTTTCAGCTACTTCAAAAATGATATTTAAATACTTGATTGATACTTTATAAATAATATTTAAATTTATTATGTCGACATAATAAATTTAAATATTATTTAAGTATCAGTTAAACATATATTTAAACATCATTTCTGAATTACTTAAAATTTATTAAGAGTTTTATAATCTGTTTACAGATTACAAACTTATTGAAATAAGCTTAAAGTATTTCTCAAAAATGGTAATTATATCGCCAACTATTTTGATTAATTAATCACATTATATGTATAAGCATATATACATAATCACTAGAAAAATAGAAAGTCACTTACACTTGCAGTTTCTACACAATATCATTGTTCATATACAAAAGTTTTTCGAAATTAAAGCAGAATAAGTCATTCATATACAAAAGTTTTTCTCAATTAAAGTAGAACAACTCACGATAACATCAAAATGACATTAAATTGAATCTTGATTGATCAAAAAATGACTTTTAGTAAACATTTTGGAGTCATTTTAACATCATGATGATTTTTTGTTCTGTTTAAATATATTTTTCAATTATTGTATATGATAGATTTTAGAAACATTTCTGTTAAAATATTTCATATGACATATTGCAGAATACTTTCAGAATTGCACATGAGATGTGAAAGGTTGAAACATTTTCGAAAATTTTCCACAACAATCGGTGCTGTATGGGTATTATTATATATAAAACATACATATATATAATAATATATAATAAAATAAATAAATATAATTTTAATTATTCTGTTTTCGTATATTTTTTAAATCCTTCAAAGTTTTTTTAATACGAACTTTATGAAAAGATAGGGCCCCATATTTACCTTTGCAGTAAGGCCCCAAAAATCCTTTACACGGCTCTGACTACAGTATCTGACTAGTAACTCCACATATATACAGGGTCATCGAAAAGTATCGGACCCCCCTAATATCTTCAGTTAGAATGCATTTTGGAGAAAATGTCCAATAGCAAAGTTGTATGGTTTCAAGCGAGGAGTAAGATGATGACCTTGACTTTGATCTTGACCATGTCCTTTAAGGTCATTTCAAGGTCAATTTTTATTATAGTATAGGTCAACTTATTTTTTTAAATGGAACCCCCTACATTTTATTGCATATTTTTATAGCTTATCTCGAGAGCTTTCCAAAACACTATAATAAAACGTTTTTTCATTAAGTACTTTTTGAGTTATAAAGGTTTGAAGTTAACAATTTTTTGACACAAAATGTAAATATTGTAAAAATATTGTAATCTTGTAAAATATTATTTAGTTTTCAGTAATCATAACCTTAATACTTTTGTGCGCGGAATAATGAGACCAATTAATTGGTTTAAAGAAAATACATTAATTAAGTATTTTACAAGATTTACATTTTGTGTCAAAAAATTGTTAACTTTAAACCTTTATAACTCAAAAAGTATTTAATGAAAAAATGTTTTATTATAGTGCTTTGGAAAGCTCTCGAGATAAGCTATAAAAATATGCAATAAAATGTAGGGGGTTTTATTTAAAAAAATAAAGTTGACCTTGAAATGACCTTAAAGGACATGGTCAAGATCAAAGTCAAGGTCATCATCTTACTCCTCGCTTGAAACCATACAACTTTGCTATTGAACATTTTCTCCAAAATGCATTCTAACTGAAGATATTAGGGGAGTCCGATACTTTTCGATGACCCTGTATGTATTACCAGCATTTTAACAGCAAGATAGCTGCATCAATGTTATCTTGTGTTGTCGGCAATATGAAAGCATTGCATGATGCTGCATATCATTATGGCAATATAATGGCAGTAGTGCGAATTTTGATGATGACGATTTTAAAATTGTCGGCAAACTGTTGGCAAGTTGCTACACTCAAGTTATCATGAAGGCATCAAGTTGCCAACAAATGAGGACTCAGTTACTATAATTCTGGTAGCAACACATGCTTAGCAATGCATACTTAGCAAGCAACATGCCAGCAACAAGATAGACACGTTACTATCTGGGTATTTACTCGTTTTAGAACTTCATTGCATAAATGCTTATTATGGTAATTTGGATTTTTAACAGCTGTATACATACAGTGAGTGCAAAAAGTATTCGTACAGAGAAAATATTTAAAAAAAAACTTTATTTTTAAAAAGTAAATATTATCCAGCGAGAAATGAGTCATCGAATCGATATTGATAAGATAATTTCTTGTTGGGTAATTAACAATTTATTCATAAAGAATAAAATAGACCGTATATTTCTTAAAATTATATATACCAAAAAAATGTGTATTAATTATAGAAAATATATTATCTGAAAAATAGGCGAAAATTAAAAATTGCATTGTTTGAATGCTCAAAAAGTACTCGTACAGTCAAGAAATCTAGCTTCTAAAATCAGGAATACATGTGAAGCTCGTTGTTAGAACAGAATGTATTCATTATATAAAATTGTTAATTAATGTTTATATTCTACAAATAAGACTTTTTATAACAAATTTCCTTGTACGAATACTTTTTGTTCTCACTGTACATATAATGTAAGATGCTGTCAATCGTCTATTCAATTACGTGACCATTTCCAATCATTTTTTTTTTCCACCATACCTGCAAGGAAACAAGCATGAAATTGTGCATAAAAATTATGTATATATATACAGAAATGAAAAATCATGCATGTCAGTATGCCAGCGCTCAATGCATGAACGTATTCTCTGCTCGAAGTAGGCATGACTACATGCATGCATGTCATTCAAGAAATCGAGCATCGGATGATTTCATCTTAAGAGGACCAGCGACATTCCATAAGACTCAAATAAAGAGTTTCGTTAAAATTATATTACAAATGCTATAAATACATCATTTACATAATATACATATACACATGGAGATTGTTTCTTTAATATCTTACATTAATTGTAGATAAGCAAATTCGGTCGATGCTGTACTTTGATATATTGATGTATATCGTTCGAATACAATCTCGCGCGCGCGATCTTTCTACATACATACAATTTTCAAAGAACATATAACAATTTCTCATTTATTGAAGAAATCTGACGCTCGTTGTCGCTGCGGAGGTAGATTAAGTAAGTTATCGGTGAGTACGGGTCCTTGTATCCGTGTGGCATTAATTTCGGACTTTTGAGAGGTAATTTCCTTAGCCAGTACGTTCGCATGTGGCGTATTAGGTGTTCTGATGCCCCTTACGGACGGAGTCCTGGACGATGGTATTCGTCGAGGAGATGGTGTATTCGATATACGCAGTTTCTGAGTCGCTAGTCTTCTTGCTGCGGGAGACATAGTGCTCAGACGATCTATGGTTGATCTCGGTGATGGACTGGAAAGAATAATTGCTCTCGTAAATTTTTCTCACATGTACATTAGGTATAAATTTATATTATTCGACAATATTCATTTCGTGAAATTTATAATATATAATATAAATATCACTTACGTGGCTAATGATCTCCTGGCAGCTTCTAAGGCTTTATTTTTTCGATCCCTGTGTCTCTCACCAGCCTTCTCAGCCAACTGCAATGCCAATTGTTCTCTTTTCGGTGGTTCCGCTATTCTGAAAGAGGGTCCCTGACTCGTCCTCAACAATGGTGTGTCACCACCATCCAATCGGAAGGGTGTCCCCTCGATCTGACCCCATGTCATCAATGGACTTTCGCATTCCCCCGGTCTTGGACTTGGCGTAGCCACGAAACTAAAACCATTTACTCGTGGCGTTGCATTTCTGACAACCTCTTTGCCATCCACACCAATCTTGCCGTCGTTAGCTCTGGATTGTGACTTGGCGAGTTCGTCAATGGTCTCTTTATTCTGTTGTTCGTTAAACGGGTTTGTTCGCAATTTCGTATTTTCGTGCATTATAGTTTGTTTCTTCTTGGCCAATTCTATTTTCTCTTCCGCCGTAAGTTCCACTCCATCAGGTATGTACATGATATAATTTTTATTCTTGTAAGTCCAACTGTCCACTTGTTTAGGTCTGGAATTGGAACCTTGAATAGCTGGGACATCAGTGGTGGTGGGTCCGTCGATAGCTAACCAAGCTTTCGACTTGTCTTCTGCCTCATAGAGCCAGGCATACTTGAGCATACGTTTATTTTCAGCCTCAATCATCATCTCTTCAAAACTAGCATTATCCTCGCTTGTGTGGGTACTCAAATAATCATCCAGACCGATCTTACTTTCAGTACCATTTCTATTTACGGACTCAACGGATGTTTTTTGAGACGATGCCTCCGTGGTGGGCGGTGATTCGGCTGACTCAGTTCTACGCAGCGGAGTTTCGAAAGTCGCTGGACTGATCGGCCTTTCAGTGACAGGTCGGCCAGAGCTATACTTTGCATACAACTCTCTCATTCTGTTCATATCGTTCTGCTCTAAAGCTTCTAAATACTGATTTTGAGCCTGTAGCTTTTCCAAGTGCGGAAAGAAATCTCTTTGTATAATGTCACTCATTTTCTCAATATATGTATCTTCATCTAAAATCTTTGGTTGTACACTTTTACTCCTCTTAACGAATCCGATAGGCTTTTTGAATACAGTTAAGTCCTTGATATTTTTAGCGGCTTCGAGAGCTTTAGAACCCGGACTGTCCGTAATGGAACCTGAAAGAGTAAAATTGATATAGAAATTGATAAGAAAAGACAAAAACGATTGGAAAAATTTGCTATTTGAGAAGTTTTTATTTTGGAAAATAAAAAAATGAGTTTTATTTGATTTATTTGTAAAATCAAAGGATGAGTTACGTTCATATTGGTACTTACTCATTTTGATTAGCGTGTGATTGAGGTTATGTAACGAAATTCTTTTCAATTATCACTATAAGCTTGAATACGAAGCACTTACTAGTATAGAAAATATTCATTTATTGCAAATCTATCGAATGCAATCTCGTGCGTATTACATCACGCCTTATTTCTTTTCCAACGAAGATTCTCTTGTCGTTTTGAGATTATTTATACTCTACCCAACTCTACCATTGTATATACACTGTACTGCGTACATTGCTTAAATCCGGATCCACAATAGGTGTTCTAAGCCTTAAGCCGTAAGAATTGACCAATTACAGTCAAATCCGAGGAGAATAATCGACCGTGATTCGCCCATTTTTTATGGCTTAAAATCCTATTGTAGATCCAGAGTAATTGCCATTCTACATTAATAGTTCCTGCACACTGTCGCGGAAACGCTTGCCGCGCGATAAAATGTGACACGGGCTAAGTTTCCATCGAGGGTTAGAGTTGGATCAGAGTACAAGAACTGACCAATCACAGTCGAGTATTCCCCTGTCAAGGCCATGGCACATACCTTCCGTAACAGTAACCATAAGACGTACCGTAAGAATCAGCCAATCACAGCCGAGAATTCTTTCGAACTCTTAATTCTAATTGGCTGATTCTTACGGTACGTCTTATGGTTATCGTTACGGAAGGTTTGTGCCATGGCTTTCATAGTCGAATGACAGGAGAATGCTTGACTGTGGTTGGTCAGTTCTTGTACTCTGACCTAACTCTAACCCTCGGTGGAAACTTAGCCACGGTAGCCAATAAGTTTACAGCTCCTAATGGCTCCC